GCTAGAAAATGATTTTATCTAAGTCAAGAAGATTCAGTAAGACAAGATATTTTTTAGGCCTATGAAAATGAAAAGAATAAATGAAGATTGTAATAGCAAGACTGATCTAACACGGAACTTTAGACAACAGAGTTTTTCAAAGTAAACTTTGAGAAAGTGAACATAGCTGCAGAGATGATTTTTTTGTGTCGGTGGAAGACGATGCTTGTCAGAGAACAGTTAAATGCGTTAAACTGTGACTAGTGCTATCTAAGTAAGCCTGGAAGCAGAGGCCAGTTTCTTCTCAATATTCCTGTGTATAACATCAGCTATTTTAGATATTGGGGAATTAGAGATCATTGAATTTTAGTGTATTAGAAGGAACATGGGTGAACAGTGGAAGGCAGTATTTAGGGAGAAAACTCCCAGCAAATCCATGTGTTGTAAGATCAGAAACATCAGAGATGTACAATATAGTCCAGTAGGAAGAGAAATGCAAATTATTAAATGAAGTTACTAAAATTAAACTACCATGCCTGTGTAAAATTGTGATTTGGGACCAATGTGTTTTCTTAACAACCTAAAATTCTTTCCTTTCCAACAAATACCCTCCAAAAATAATAAGGCTAGTTAAAGGAACCTGTTAACAATTATGCTGTAGACAAGTCTATTAAATCCAATCATCTGGTGAATCTGAACAGATACAAATTATCCAAGCTAGAAGCCAAGTTGCTGTAATTCTGTTGACGATCAAATTTGTTCAAGTAAAACCACATAGCAAGAAGCAAATCTCACGTAGTTTGAAAGGTATTGAAAGACCAAGAGACAAAACGTCAGTGCGCACAAATGGAAGGGAGGGCATTTTGCAGTTAACATAAAAACATTTGCAATACAAAGGCAAGGACACCAGCACAAAGGGTACGATGCTGTGCTTTCAAGAAAAGCAACCATTTTGCAGAACTCCAACCCGCTTTCAGAATTTACCAAGAAATTTCATAAATGCTGTGGAAGTGCTGATGACAATGGCAGTGCAGGAACGTAGGAGGACTCTCTGTCTCCGTAAATGTGCTCTCAAAGCGAGGTTCTGCAGGAGATGAGCTTGTGATGTGAGACGTGAATGGACAAAAAGTAGAGTTAAAAATAAACACCAAAGTTGAGTGCCCTGTAATCATCATGAGGACAGAAAAATAAGTGAGCACAGAGAAAGCCACCGTGTTTCAGAATAAGTACTATTATTACTTATGGGAACAGGGAACAATGGAAGCAATTGCTTTTCTGAGTTCACATTATATCCTTTTTCCCCTCTGTCCTGAATAGAGCAAAACTTTCTTTTAAAAATATTTTTCTTCCAAGTTTTTAATTACATTTTAGTTTTTTGGTGTGTAATGCAAGATACTGAAAACATTATTATTAAAGTCAGAGAGCACTAGCATATAAATGTCCATATTTTATCACCTTCTATTAACAATGGGAGAAAGTAAAACCAGCATGATCAGAAACGTTGAAACATTGAGACACCAGGTAACAGGATAGTCAAAATAATAAAGAAGTTAGGAGTGTATAAAGCCTTTGAATGCAAGAGCTGTATCATAAGAACAGCTGAAGAGTTTAATAATGAAGGAACGTTATGGCTTTAGATGCCTATTTAGGATTTTATCACCTTTAAATGAAGTACAAAATTCTGCATTTTGAATTCCCCATTGGCTGTGTACTTGCTTTAGGAAGCTTGCTTTTGTGATTGTGTAACGCGCATATCAGAGGATCCTGCACTTTTATGTGCTGGAATGACGATGCAAAACTTGCCAAAAAGAGGGCAAAAGGAGTGTAATGCGATCATCTGTACTGACTGTACCAGTTAGCGTACTGCTGCCATTAAACATAAACGGTATGCTTGAGAAGAAGACGACTTTTGGAAACTGGGAAAAGCGTTACAGCAGGAACTGAAATGCTTGAAATGAGAATCCAAAAAGGAAATGTCATTTTACATGGGATTTGGTCCCTCCTTCTGGGTATAAATTGCCTAGTGGAAAATGTTTCTAAAATACAAAGTGTTACTGACACATATTGAAAGTTCTGAATAGTATCCAGACGTTAATCTGAAGCATCAGTAGGTTTCTGTGCCAAAGTCAGTGAAGGGCTGGAGGCTGCCTTGAACTGTGGTCTAGTGGACGGGCTCTAATCCTGCCCGTTGTGGGTAGTTAATTATTAATTAAAAGGTAGAGTGGCTTTAGCAAGAGAGACTGCAAGAATCCCAGTCCAAAACTCCACACCAGACTATTGTCAGGGTACTCTTGTGTGAGAAGTCAGGAACAGGAGCCTTTTACACGTCCCAGGCCTTACGAACTAACTGGGAGACAGATCTGGAGCGGGTGAGACATTCTGTGCTTTCGGTGGGGATTTTGCTTCCCAACTTCACCAGAAATCTGGGGGTTGCAGCTTTTTGCAGGTTTGACTTTTTTTTAATCCCAATACGGATTATAAATGGGTTTTGATATTTCAAATAAAGTTTAATAGATGAGGGAGAAGATTCTTAACAAATGCTGATCATAACATCAGTGAGCAAGAAATGACAGTCAAGTCATGGTTGCTATTGGAGCACCAAAAATCTTTTTTTTTTTTTTTTTAAAAAAAAAAGAGTCTGCTTTATTCTGGAACAGCATAAGTGGGATTTTTAGTACTGAAATATCTAAAAGTAAAAACTGCAGGAGGGAAGTACAAGGAACAAAGGGCAATTAAAACATGAGGGACCTGGAGGTACCAGTTGTTGACATGAGTTCAATGCTATGCTATCTGAGCAGAATGTACCTCTCTAAATACTGACTTTCCTTTAACTCGCCGAGCAACTCATTTTGTGACAGACCAGTAAGTGACTGAATAGTGCAGTTTGTTCTCCGCAAGAATGTGAGTTGATATGAGACTAACCCACCATTAAGCATTTGCTTGGCAGGTCAAACAGGCTTTTATTTGTACCTTTACTCAAAACAGGGAATAAGTAAATAGTGACAGGCAAAAAAAAAAAAAAAGCCCTCCTATAGTAAAAAACTAAAAATTAACACTGCAGTGGATGCTAAGGGATTCATTTTTCATGGGCATATTCACTGTTGTTCTTTTACCATTGTAAATTCGTGTCTGTCTGAACACAAAGATAAAATACTTAACACCCATATTTAATGAGTTTGTCCCCTTGTTTACTTTAAACCTATAAAATTTCTAAAGAGATTTGTCCTGGCAGCCTGAGGGGTTGGGGAAGGCGATATTAAAACTATTCTGTTTGTGAACAGAAAATATGCTTAATTCAAAAGATGAAGTGTCATAATTGTTCTAAAGCAAGAGCTGCACTGAGCCTGTCATAAGTTAATGCCAAAGCTGTTTTTGTAGCTACTGTTCGAGGGAGAAGAGAAGACATCTCAATTAAATTCTGCCTTTGTTGAGGACATCAGAAAAGCTACTGACAGATCGTGCATGTTAACTGCAATCGTGCATCCTGCCGTTGCCACTGAGAAGGGAAAAAAGCAATAAAAGCGGGCTGCAAGTGGCTGCTGTCACACAGGCTGCTGTGGAAGAGAGGCTTGAGAAGCTGTTGCTGTTCCTGTTCACTGCAACATCTTTGAATTTTTAGTGACAACCTCTAATAACTACAAGTCAGAATAATTCTTTCCGTGATGGGGCACCGCAGATTTCTCATGCCAGACTGTTCAACATCAGAAGTCAAGGTGCAAAATAAGATCAATAAAAATCATTAGGAGACATTGAACTGTCCTTTGATTTTGATCCATAGTGTGGTTTACAGGTTTGTTGTTGGGTTTTGGTTTTTTTTCCCCCTGAAGTCAAGGTGTTTAAAATTAAATATAAATAATATTTTTCACATAATCGCCTCACTGCGGCGGCTAGGACTTTAAAAGAACTAGTAGCAAAATATCTATAATACAATCATGAGAGCTGGGAACTCTTTGGTAAGGTTGTCTACTCTTATTCTGTTGGTTTGTGGTTTATTATTTTTGCTGTGTTCTCTTGCCATTCCCTTTCTCTTTCATGTGGGAATAAAAAGGCGTGTGTGGAGTGTAAAGGGTAAGAGTAATTGCTGATCTGTCTACCTGTATCACTGCGTTGGGAGTTAAAAATATAACGTATCCAGTGCACCTGCGGACAGGCAGTCTTCTGCTGGTGTTTCTGGGCATTGCTGGTGGCTCCTGCTTAAAAAAAAAATACGGTCAAGAAGGATTTGAGAAACTCATTTGTAAAGCATCTGAAGCTGAGACTGTTCCTGGAATATTATTAAGTGACAATGGGTAGATAAAACGCTATAGAAATAGAGGAACGAGCGGATTTCTCTTCTCTACTTGCTGCCCAGGTGTCTCAGAAAGACCCGAGTGAGTCATTTATCTTGCTGCAAGGGGAAGAGATAAATTCCTTGCTGACAGGATTGTCTGCTTCATCCTGGAGATATTTACCTTGAGGCTGTATGTGCTGGTCTTTTTGATTATTGCTTATTATGACCTGCATTGAGATTTAATGAGTCATTTGGTACAACTCCATCGCTAAATCTGCGTTGCTTTTTGGCTAAGATCAAAGAAATACCATGTCTCATTGTCCAGTTCCCCCAGTTTTTTGAGCACTGTTCAGCTAAAACATTTAGTTATATTTACTTTGATTTGTAGATCCAAAGTGCTATGATGTATATTAACTAAATATTACGATCAAGAACTAGTAGAAAATGCATGATTAAATTACTTGTTGGGAATAAAGGTTTTAATCTTGCTAAGGACAGGTAGAAACCTAAGGTAGAAAAGATGTTCTTAGGAGGGTTGGTAAAAAAGGTTCTAATAATCTACAGGAAAAGTAAAAGGAAGGTTTCAGTTGCTACATTTCGGGGGGGGGGGGGGAAGACATTTTTTGCCATTTATTAGTCTACAGAGATCTACTTTGCACAATTAAAATATTAATTAGTATCACATTAGTAGTAGTAAATTCCAGTTTTCAATGAAACATTCAAGTGAAAGAGCCATGTTTTGGGGCAGTTTTGTTCAGGTCTCTGACAAATGAAACCATTAAAACTGTATATATACTGTTTATATATATAAAACTGTGAGATATAACACATGACTAGAGTCCTCTGGTCTCATGCTATAATAGTTATTATTTTACTTGAATGAACAAATAAATGGAGGATTCATACCTTATCGCACATAGCCTGAAATGCTAGCTGAAATGCATAGCTATCCACCAAATTATTTTCATTCAGATATAATTTTGGATAACTGGTAAAGCAGGGTTAACTTTAAACAATGCTTTTGGTGAAAACACGGACCAATGATTGTGCAATTTCTTGTTAGAAAGTAGATTTTATTTGTGAATTTAGAAAAGTTAATAGAGTGAGTATAAAGAACAACTTTGAAAGTCACTTCTAAGTTTCACATTTGCCCCTTGAAGCAGTAGATGTAAACAACTGGTGATAGTGAGTTGACTGTACTTTGCCTTCCTATGATACTTCTTTCAGCTAGAAGTGATGATAAAGAATCATTTATTCATGATTCTTTGGGTGTAGAAACTCCTTTTCAAAATACTGACATTTTTCCTGTAAATAATTTTTAAAGCCTTAGTTTTAATAGTTTTTTTAAAATATTTTTCTTTAGTCTTTTAAGATATCATTTTAGTATGTGTAAAGCAAGTATGTTTAAAATTGTCAATTTGGAAGTGCACATTGAAAGCATGCGTTGATAGGAGTAGTGCCTGTGTAAGAGGAATTCTTTTTTCGTTTTTAAATTATGAAAATACTTTTGAACTGCCTGATGAAGTTGATTGAGACAGTGCATTCAAAGAAAATACAGTTTATTCTGTTTACAAATTTAAAAAATATTTGTTTCTGACTATTCTTATATAAAGACAGAGAAATTTTTGCTAATGTAAAAACTCAGCAAAATTTGCAGTTAAAATTAAAAAAAAAGTTGTAAAGTGCTTACATGTTGATTATCAAATGTTTATATTATTTATTTCCATGCCTCAAAAGCCTTACAGTGTTAATATTTATAGTAATGGTTTTAATTATATTTACATTTAATCTTATATTTTTAATTTAGATGGATTTATTGTTCAGTATGACTTTGTAATTTGTATATTCAAGAAAAACTCAATGATTTCATAATTATTTCATGGAACTGAGCCTCTATAGAAAACTTCAGAGCATTTCACTCAAAGGCAGTTTTGTTTATTAGTGTTTATTGTCACCTCCCCTTAGGATACTGTAAGTAACCCAGCATGATTGATTGTAAGAGCAATTATACACAAATTCAAGGAGAATTTTATATTCTGGCCACAGGGTTGCATGAAAATAATTTCTGTCTTCCTTAGAAGTTCACTTGTTCATTTTATTCCGTATCTGTCTCAAAGTCTTTATGATTTTAGTTCATTATTGTGGCGCTAAGCATGATACGACATAGATGCTTTTAATGCCAATGTCCCCACAATTTTATGTACTGGCTGCCTGGAGTTGGGCCTAATTTATGTTTAACAGTGTTAATACCGATATCACACAGAGGTAGTCTTGATTTTTTTTCTTTTAAAGACTATATTCTCTTCCTCAGCACTAAACCAGTTCTGCAACAGCTTAATTTGTAATTCGGTAAGGTGCCATCCTTGAGATGAATCATAAAGCTGTGGCTTGGCAGTCCCTGCTCAATTCTTGGCAATTTTCATAAATGCAGAGTATTAAACAGGGTAGCTTAACTGTTCAGCTGCTTGAATTTCCCCATATACCTTTAGCTTGCTGAAGGTTTTTTCGTATTTTTTTTTCCCCCTCTGTTGAAGGAGGGTTATGTCTTGCTCTGTCTGTGGGTGCCATTCCCTAGAGGGTGGGAGAGGGCTGGTGAATTGTATCTGCTTCTACATTGGTAAAATATTTTGGGAACTCTTCAGATGGGACTGTTACAAAATATTATACCAGATACATTTATCGCTTTTGGTAGAGAGTGAAAGGAGACAGACCTTTTTCTCCAAGTGTCCTTAAAACTTATGCAAAGTGTACTAAGTTACTAACATGTATGAAATGAGTAGGGTTTTTTTAAATGTTTTGTTAGTTTCTGTAAGGCTTTATACTTGTTGCTGAAGTCTAAACTTTTTTGCAGGGCTTAATCTGGTTGAAGACTTTTGACTATGCGTGGTTGGGGTGTTCTTTTTTTCTGTGTTTTACCTGTGTTAATTATAATGAAGGATGTTGGAGGCAGAGAACAGGACACGCAACTGGCCTGATAATACTCTGCGGTGAGATTTTTCTCCATCTCCATCAGGACCCATCCTGTTGTAGTACTTACTTTTAAGACGGCAATGCTGCTTCACCAAACTTCCTCCAACAGTGAGAGAAGTAGGGATAACTCTTGGAAAAAGTTTTGAGGCTAGTGACAAAATATGTTTGTCTTTCAGATCCCCAGCTCAAGGGTATAGTGACCAGGTTATATTGCAGGCAAGGCTACTACTTGCAAATGCACCCCGATGGAAGTCTCGATGGAACCAAGGATGACAGCAGTAATTCTAGTAAGTGACTGCCCCAAGGGAATGTCTTAATCGCACACGCAGATTGCATCACTCTAGTGTGTACGCGCACACACAGTGTTAATGCCTTTGGAGGGTTTCTGAATGTGTTTTGTCAAAAGGAGGAGGGTTCTGTCCATTTGAAGCCTAATGACCGCCAGTACGGCTCGTGCAGGATGTTGGCCTAAATGTGTTCCCTCTGAAAGGGAAGGTGTAAGTGCCGATGGACCTCAGGGGTGAGATATTTAGGCCAATGATTTTCTTCTGGTAATTTTATAAAACTGGTAAAATTATTTTTAAAGTATTTTTTAGAAAAACTACATGTTTAACATTAATTTCTTGCCTTCAAATAAATAACAAAACAAAAGAAGGGAACAAAAATTCCTTGAAAAATCTGATGATATAGGCCCTGATTCAGCAAAGCAAGTAAGTGTAAGTCTAACTATCAAAGTCCTGCTTAAAACACGTGCTGAAGTACCTTGCTGAATTGGGGCTAAAGGTCCTACAGTTCCTACACCAGCAAGAGTTCCAGTGACTTTAAGAGAATTTCTGCCAGTGTAGCGACTGTGACAGTGGCAGTTTTCAAAAATACTCCAAACAAAAGTGGTCTTGAAAGGCCCTGTGGGTCCCTGCTTTGGCACTTTTTTCCTATGATACTGCCACAGATTTTCATTCAATGAGCATATATGTGCTTGATAACTTCAGCTGCAAATGATAATTAAGCAAATCTATTCTTACTCTCGAAACAGTTGATTCCTAATTTTCTGTTTAGCAAAGAACATTTGGGTTTTTGTTTATTTTAATGATAATGGCATATTTAAGTAACGTATTTCTGTGTGATCTTGAGGTCTATTTTAAGCATTTTTAATACAAAATATTTATCTTCTTATTATGCATATATAAATAAGCTTTTAGTTTCCTCAGGAATGTTGCAATTAGGCTATAGAAGTTAAGGAATTTGAGGTTTCTGCTTTACTTTGGTTAGGTCCCTGTTTTATCTGTTAATGCACGGCTGTCATTTTTAACACATTTCATCAACAGATAGCATGATCAGCTTTTATTGTTCTTTTTTTTCTTTTTTTGAATTGAGAAAAATAATTGATTGATCTATTTTGATATGTATTTCTCTGCTTGTTTTCCAAGTGTGGGGGTTTTTTTTTCTCCCCTGTTCCTTGTTTCTTTTCTTCCCTCAGTGTGTCCTTCTCTTATGCCCACTTCTGTACTGGACTAGCTACTAAGACCTTGTACGGACAAGATCACTATTGCTTTTTGTAGAAGCTTTGCCTATATGAGGTCTGAGAAATGTGTCTTAGAGCGTGAGCATGTATCTCTCTCTCTCCCTCTCCTTCTCTGCCCATCTCTCTCTTATTTTCAGCTTCAGTGAGGGGGTGTGTATGACTGCAATGATTTTGGAATGTTTTCATGTTGTTTCTGGTTTTGGGGGGTTTTTTGTTTGTTTTTTTTAATCTTAGAACTCTGTGGATTTTGAATCATTGTAAAACTAGACCATAGTGCCTTACTTTCCTCTTTTTGCTGTTGTCAGCTTTACAGATATTTCTTTTTTTTTTGTTTTTTTGTTTGTTTGTTTGTTTTTTGTTTTTTGCTTACTATGTCATTTACCCTTTCTCTCCCCTCTTCCCTGACTTTCTGGATATCCATCTGTCTGCCCATCTCTCTTATTCTTGTTTTTCCAAAATGCAGAATGAATATTCTATATTATAAATATTCTGACATATAGAACTTGTCCAAACTCAACCAAATACCAGATAGCAGTATTGCATATTTTGGATAAATACTGTTAGATAATATTGTGTTTTACTTGAACATGATTTTTAGGCTAAAATGAGTTTTTTCCATAAAGGGATTTTTTTTTTCTGCCTTTAACTGGCGTGATTCACTGTTTGTTTCTTCTCTAGTCCAATTTTACAATATTGTTTAATAAAGACAGTTTAGACTATAAGAATGTAAAGTAAATGTGTTTGCCAGGAAAGCATACAATCTCCACCTTAAATTTTCCTAGTATATATGTATCAACATGATATGAAGAGCTGAAAAGATTGAGCCATGTGGTATATTCATGAATATATGAATATGTGCCTGTTTCTTTTGTGCTGTCAGTCTTTCTCCTCAGTCCGCTGTTCCCTTCCATTTCCTGTTAACTTTTGTTTCCTGTTACTTTTCTTTATTGCAGCATATTTTGGTTTTCTTTTTCTGTTTTACTTTAGAACAGTAATTTTCTCATGGATAGGATTCCTAGTATTTTGATCTTTTATTTTGGGAGCTCTTTATGATAATTTCTATCCAAGGTTTACTGGTTTTGGCAGCTGCCAGAGGGGGAAAATCTTGCTTCTGACCATGGAGCTTGCAGGCTGCCTATTTAATGTGCCAAGCAGGCGAAGGGATGGACATCTATTAGCTGTCAATAAGACAGATAGTATGCTTACCTTGATAGTGAGGATGACTTCTGTTTGAAGGATATTGCATAAAAATGAAGGAAATACAGGCTGCTGGAGGGTGTGCGTCTCTGCCTTCCACCCATCTTCTGCACTACTCTCCTCGAAACCTGTGGAAGAGTCGTCCTCATGCGCTGACCATCTGAGTAGCTGGGTGTTGGAGAAGCCAGAGTGAGTAGGACGGGACAGAGAAGTGATTTCTTTTTTGTCTTCAGCAACGAAACTGTTTGAAGCTTAGTCACGCTGCTACTTTTTGTGCTGTTGCAATTTATTCTGTGTCAAGCAGTTAGAGGAGTGCTTGAAGTTAAAATTCTCTCAAGTGCATATATCATTTTATACTCATTTTATATGTATGTCAGTAAACATAAGTTACATGCTGTTGGAGTCACAGCGTTGGAGAGAGGTAGCGCAAAATAAGATTAAGATGTAGTCTGTTCAAATTGAGTGGTTCTGTTCACACCCATTTTTTGTTTGTCTTTAAAGCTTCTTCGTGGTCTCTTTAATGTGACTTCTTGCCTCTATCTGAAGACAAAATGAGTTTTACCAGTGTTCTCAGTCAGCTGCTATAGTGCGAGCTGTTGTCCCGGCTTGCCTTAAGTTTGAGTAAAGGCTACAGTTTGCAGAGATAGATGGCGAGATTTTTAATGTATCGCTGTGCACAAACCCTTGCATGAAAAAGGAGGAAAGATGTGACTGCTTGTAATGGCGTCCCTGAACATCCTTTTGTCTGCTCATGTTGGTGGCCATGCTGTTAGAACCCAGCCTAAATAGACTGATGGGTTTCAGTTTGTTGTTGTAATTTCTTTTTGTATCTTTTCCAAGTTAGTGGTGTTTTGTGACAGAGTATGAATTAATGAACTTATTGGTTAGTGGTACTGAGTTTCCTTAAATCACATCACAGGACCAAGGCTGTTAGCTTAAACCACCTTGTGTGTACAGCCTTTATGTTTTAGCCAAACTCTCAGTGGTATGTGGAAAGAGGCTTTATTACATTGCTACTCTTGTTTTAGCTGATTTTTCTCTTTTCCCTTTGTCTAATACCTTGGAGTTTCTGGTTTGTTTTTGTTGCTTTCTTGTAGTGAAAGCAGGAGTGACTGTAGTTGAAGCTGTAGGCTTGGTTACTGAGGTCCCACCCAGCGTAGCTGTCCCTCTCTAGCTCTAATTTTCCTGGATTTTTTCAGTTCTCAGCATTACTTGGTGCAAGTGGAACTTGCTTCAGTGTTGTCCATGGGCCTTATCGTTATTAATTAGGAAAAACAAGCTACTACACGGAAACTAGAAAGAAATAGAAGATATTTCCATGTTGTGCATGTGGTACAAGCATTACATTCCCCTCCTGTCCTTCTCCCCACCCGAAATGGCTCATTTTCAGGCTTTGGTCTATCTTCCAAGTTTTTTCTCATGAATGAAGGATAGGTTTAGTAGGAAGACTAATTAATTTGGGAAACGGGCAGTTCTGATTCTTTAATTTCTGAGATTGAAATCTTGACTCTCTTAGCCCTATGGCTTATTTTGATTTACCTGGAAGAGTGTATCTCAGCCAACAACCACTGAAAAAAATCAACATAAATTATGATACTTTCCTTGATGGGTGATAAACCTGATTTTAACACTCAAATGTTGATATTTGTGCCCCTGATGAAATTACAGTCCTGTTTAAAACAGATTAAAAGAGCATTACTCATTTGTAGCCTTATTTCATAAACCGACGAATGCCAAAGTTAACATTACCGAAGCAACTTTGATTTGGCTGTGCTGTGCACATCTCTTGCTTAATTATGCAGCAACGTGCTTTACTTCCTTCATGGCACTTGGTACCTGGTAGAGTTGCTGTTCAAGAAATCATGCAACCATTTAATATTCCTTTATTTTTATCTTTTAGTGCATGCTCCTAATGCTCTATTTATATATTCCAAATTGAATATGAAAATATTAACTTTTTAATGTCTTTCTAAAGTACCTACCACTATCATATTTTGGTCTGAAGATATTAATAAAATAATCTTCACAGCACCCTTGTAAGGTAAAGGGGATAATTAGAAATAAAGCACATGAAGATTAAAAAAACAGCACCTACAATGCTGTTAAATTTGGATTACTGAATGGTAAATTTGGATTAGTGAACTGAAATATTTGCAGTCTGATTTTTTTTGCACTGTTCTTTGCTGTGGTTTGTCTTCAAAGAATTACACAGGCATTTAGTTATCTATTTACATCACCTTTGGGAGTTAGGTAAGCCTGTTCCTCCCGTCAGTATAATCTTAGTGTGACAGGATCAACAGAGGCCATGTTCAGCCATACTAAAAAGTACGTTTTAATTACATCTTGTGTAACATCAGGCAGGTAGAATGGGTTTGGTCCATAAGAAAGGGATGGACGGATCTCTGAATACCAACCTCCCTGCACTCATCACCAATCTAAAAGATGTTCTGATGGAGTCGTCATTTTTTGCCTGTAGGCCTGCAGATGGAAATAAATTAAAGAAATAGTTGCCTTGATCTGATTGCAGATTTGGTACTGTGGGAAGTTTTGTTAACTGATGCCAGGGCAGTGCACATGCAGAACAGACAGCAAGTTTATAAGCCTTAAGCAATTGGTCTCTAGCAAACTTCTTGAGAAAAACAGTGATCTGTAATGGCGATTTTCTATAGCTACAAGTCAGTTGTACCTAAATACACTTTCACAAGGATATGGAAATATCTGATTTCAGGCATTTTGGATTTCAAGTTAATAGACTGTGATGGTATTACATAAAAAAGGGAAGAAGATACGTGGCAGCTTTGTGTTTTACTCAAGGAAGGAGTTACTAGTAATCAAAAAGTGGACTTCAACTTTGACTAAAACTTTTGGAGGTTTAGAATCCAACTCAAATTTGTGCCTGCCAATCCCCTCCATGACACCTAAACCAATAACCTTTTTCATGCCAGTTGTTCCTGTTAACTGGCGCCTGCGCCCTTTTTCTGGTCTCATGTGTGGTTGGAGTAGGCTTGCAGGCTTCAGAAAAGGAAGAGAAACCACTTGCTTTACAGTCGCAGTTTAGACGGAACACAAAGCAGAGCTAAGGGAGCATGCACAGGCTCAGTGCTGAGAAGGAGAAAGGGTTTTATTGGCACCATTTTTGCCGATTGGTTCACTTGATTTCCCTGATGTTCCTACATTTTATTTACAGTTGGACTTGCCAAGCTTTATACTTAAGCGTGCAGAATGGGAGCACTGGGCACCAGGCAGAATTATATTTTCTGGGCTGTTCCAGGATGCTCCCTCTCTCAACTCATCTGTGGACTCACCAGGCTGGGATTAGGTCCATAAAGATGTTCAAGGACCTCACTCCCCATTTAATTTTGGGTAATTTTGGGTAACCTAGTAAGGTTTGAGGTGTGTAATTGGGCACAGAAGTCCTGCTCAGTAAACAGTACTGCACAGCCAGGTTCTGGAGGAAACTGAATTTCCTTTGACCAACTTCAGAGCACGTAAAAACCACGTGCTGTGCCTTGCTGGTGCATGTTTTGCTGACTTCAGTATGAAGCACATTGTTGAGCATTCATCAATCAATAACTGAATGTAGACTAGCCTCCCTAGTTCCACCCAAGTCTGAAATATTTTGTGGAAGTTACTGAATATTCTGTATGTGCAGAATTACAGCATTTCAGATCACGCACTAAAATTTTATGGCCTTAGACTAATTACAGACACTCTGACAATCTCTGATTAAAACTTGTTGGCAGTAAAAGATACATTATATGCCCTCCTTGTTGCTTTCTAAATTCACTAGCAGCTATAAGCCGCTCTAGTAATTTTATAGGTTTCATAAAACATTGCCATGTTACAGGCCTCTAATTCTCCTTCAGTGGTGGTTGATTTTTTTTCTAGCATTGCTGCTTTATTTTTATTGGTGATACAGCAGATTATATCTGCGTTCCAGAAGTTTTGACTGAACCACTATGAATTGGAGTTGTTTTTCATTAGCAATTTTCCATGGCTGTGACTTGTCTTTTGTGTTCACCTCTTTTCTTTATACAAGTATTTTTTTTGTTTTTCCTTCCTAGTGTCCCCTCAGTTGTTGCTGCCTTCCCTCTAGCATGATGTTCATATCCAGGCTTCCTCCTGGAATCTCTTTTTTTTCTAGAAAAACCCAAACTTAACTGCAATCTGAAACCTAGTTTTGCTGTGAGAGACACCCCCTCACCACCCGCAATAGTGTTTTTGCTGGTTTTGACGTTGGTTCACTTGAGGGTAATGGCTGATTGGTGGTTTTTAACTTCCAAATTATATTGAACATTTGAAAGCTCTCAAGTCATGCAGTGTTTAGCCTATATACTGTTAGGATATCTTGTCCATGAGTGCCGTATTTCACTGGTTTACATTTATCTTGTATAGATTAGAGAGGGAACCTCGTCTGTACCCAGTATTTTTCTAGTGAACGGCCCAGTAAGATGCTAGCATGATGGAGAGTTTTGGAAACTACAGAAAAGAAAATGCTATATCTTTATGCTAATTCTTGTCTGATGTTATCTCTTCTGTTCTTCTTTATAAACACATGACTTTGTTTTCTGTTCTTCCAGAGCTCTTTCAAATATATTTTTCTTTCTACAGCTGTAGGAAGTGCTCTGCTACGATTCCTAGCTTTATACTGGCTTTGTGTGTTACTAAAAAGATCTTATGTTACGTATTATTTTTTTTTCTGTGTGACAATGTTGAAGGAAAGTTGTGTTGGTTGCTTTTTTTTCATCTGCTTCTATCTTTAAATTCTAGTAGTCAACCTATGTTTTTTCTCAGTTGTAAAGATTTTATCATCTTCATCGTAAACGATCTGTGGCTTTGTGTCCTTTGACTAACCAGGAGTTTTCACACCTTGACAAAATCTTACCCACTGCAATTACGTGACCCTTTTTCTCTTGATTTGGGCTTTACCCCGACATTCTGATTACAGATAGCCTCATAGGGTACACTTTCTGGTCACACCTATGGATGTCCTTCCTAAATTTTGAGGAACTGACTGTAGGTGTTACTGTAGATGTTGCTGAGACTTGGTTTGGTGGAACCATGGTCCTCACTGCATATGTTGAACGCTAAGGCTGTGCTTTGGTTTTCATCCAAGGACTTGTGAATCCTTGACTCATCCACAGTGGAAAAACACTTAGCATGAACTCTAGCTCATCCAGATCTTGTCTTCCAAGACTGTTTGATGTATGCTTTGCATCTGATTTCCTAGTATGAGTCAGTAAACTTAGTATAGGTGTGTGCTGGCATAATTTTTAGAAGAAGAATTGATCTGTGTCTCCTACTTATATCGCTTTTTCTTTTGTTGTTCTGTGGTGAGGCTGGTAAACTCCTCTTCACACTGGTCTTTTTCAGACACTAATCACAGCTGTGGCTGTTTTTGTTATTACAGAGTTATATATCAATGCTAGAGTATCTCCTATTAGCTGGGGGTTTAATTTTGTTTTCCTTGAGAATTTCAGTCTTTGAACATGTTCTATATTCAGCTCAATAGCATTTATGCACATTTAGAGTCAAGCAAGTATTTCAGTGCTTTTCTGCATGAGGATAAGCCTCTGCCATTACCTGAGGCCTGTGTACTACTGCTTATATCCAATATACCGTTCACAAAAGCAAAAAAATTTTTTTTGTTTTCAATCACAGACCCCTTGAAAGCAAGCTTTAATGAGAGCACATGTTAATCCAAAACCATAAAAATGCCTAACAAAATAAAAAGCTCCTTGCCAGAATCAGAGAGATGTTTTCTGCAGGGTCTCTCACAAGTATTGCATGATCAGTCTACATTGATGAAGGAATTGTTGGGCTCTTTGACTCTTTTCATATTGCCTGAGATACTCATGTCTGCAGTGCTGCGTAAATGATTACAGTCCAGTCTGCTGTGCCAAATACTGAACTATTGCAGGACTCATTGCTAGATAGATAATTAGGCTTTAATTTTAAGGATTAACTTTACTAGAAGCAAGATTTTCTGAATTAGTTTAATTTTAAAATCAGAAAAAAATTATACAGGGAGTAGTTTTCTTTCTTTTTACTAATGATGTTTATAAGAATGTTGTAATAACCATGGTTATTTCATATCTTGTCATGTTTTTTATTCACAGCTTTGTTCAACCTTATACCAGTGGGACTTCGAGTTGTTGCTATCCAGGGTGTAAAGACTGGGTTGTATATAGCCCTAAATGGAGAAGGTTTCCTCTACACATCAGTAAGTACCTTTCTGAACTCTGTTTGAGACACAGCTGAAGTTGAACTCTACACAGGAATGAGATGCATATTCACTTTTAAGAAGTTCTATAGTGTGTATATATATCTATATACATATAGTACACACACCTGAGTACCCACGTATGTATGCAGCATATCTATAAATGGGATACAGTAGAAATCACTGTGTACTATGTGTGAAAGTCTACATGTTAGCAATCCTAAAAAAACATTCTGTAGAGCTCTTTTTCTGGTAGGCTATACTGGTAGTGTGCAATACACCACAAAGATTATTATTTTCAATAAAATTCTCCAGAATTTTTAAATAAAGACCTGCAACTATTTTCTTAGTGACTTGTTGATCATAATCCAAAAGCTGCTCCAACAGCTACTTTTATCGATAAGACTTACAAGTGTAACTTCCGTCTAAAAAGCCATTAACAGCCTTACAGTTACAAGATTACAGTGACAAACTGTATGCTTAGCATTATAGATTTATTTTTTTTAATTTCAGATATCAGGAAAATAAAGAGTTCTGTGAGGGAATATATCTTTGTAGAATGATCAAAGTTTAAGAAAAATATCTTTTGAGTCACAAAGAAGACTGCTGGATAAAGTGATCGGAAAGTCCTCAGATTGTTTAACATATTCCAAATGATTTAATGCTAATCACTCAGTGTGCTGTTGTGAATATAAAAATCCTCAGTTTTGTGTAAATGTAGTGTTTTAACCTCCTTTGAAAGGCAAACAGACTTTAATATGAACAGACAGTTCTGTCAGGTATTAACAAGTGGCTTAAAGGGTTTTTTATTACTATATTTTTATTGCCGTCTACGTTGAATTTATTTACATAGTGCTTTTTCCATTTTGTATGTCACATAATTCTTAATTCCCCACTGAGTTACTATATGCTGCTTTGTTTTCAATGTCCATTGAAAGGAAATTGGACAGATTAAGTTTCTCATGCCCTGAGGGAAAGTATTCTGTTTGTTTCAAATATACAATTGCCTTGGAAAAGCTAATTAGGAAGAAAAAATGAAACTAATCTTGAATGTCAATGTCAAGACAAAGAGAAAATTCCTCCTCACAAAATGTCTTCTGGAAACTCCAGCAGTATGATCTGAAACTTTTTTTTTCCTCTGTTCAAAATAAAAAATTCTATCACAGGAAAACATGCAATATTTGCTGTCAGAAGGAAGAAAACTAGAGGGAAAAACCTAGAGAAATTTTCTCTAATAGAGAAAATGCATTGCTGACTTCTTAGTTCTATCACTTCATGTGAGGAGTTCATTTCAGTGTGATGGCATGAACAGTATTTTTTTTTAATGTGTTGGTACAGTTAAGAGTAAATTCTTGCCCCGCACTGTTTCTGAAGTGAGATCTCAGTCCTTCAGAAAGAAGTAAAAATTTCAGAAAATGTACCAGTTTCCCTACGGATAATTCTGCACAGGGAGGGACCCTACATGAGCAAATTCTGGCTGCCACTGTGTTTATGTATTATTCTGGAAATGGTACAAGTTCAGTGCCAATTGGGGAAGGGAAAGGAGTAGAAAGTACAAGGCAAGATAAGAGATGGCTGGATCCAAACTTTGAATAGATGAGAACCTGACCCTTAGAACATCTTCAGGTCTAACAAGATATTTCTGTCACACCAGCGGGAATCTGAATTGCTTTGTTCCCGTGTCTTCTTTTTGAGCAACATAGATTACCTTGGTTGTGATCAGTCTCATGGGTATAAATAAAAGATTATGTATAAGGAAAATGTAATCCACGTGTTTAATATTTTGCAGGGTTGCGTATTCTTCATTGTCACTAATGGCAAGATTTTTGGACTTGATGACTTCATATATTCCTGTAGTTATTAGGAACTTGTTAAGTACTTCTGAATTTTGTTCTGTGAGCGTTGCTATGTTTTGAGTGTATTTCACTTAAAAATTTCTTGGGAGAGTGTCTTTACATTGTGTGAGGTAAGGAAATGAGTGGTTTTAGAATGTACTGCTTATGCTTCCTTGCATGGAGAATGAAAGATGAGTGGCCCATTAAGTGACAAAGAGATGTGACGCATTAGAAAACTCAATGGAAGACTTTAGTTTTGGTATGTCTACAAAATGATTTTAAACTTACACTTTTGCCAAGTTGAAAAGTAGTAATATTTGGTAACCTAATTCATATTTACAGGTAGTAATTTCAAAACGTCAGTGCTGTGTTACAGGTTTGATTGTTTCATATTAACGTATTGAAAACACTGACAATACATTTTTGTCTTAGCAATTTCCTGCTTTCAGCTTAGAGACTAATACATTTGAAAATAAGAAGAGAAAGCATCAGAGAGAAGTCAGTCTTCTCCCTGAGGATCAAGATGAAGAAATACTGCATGCAGAATATTTTAAATACTGTCGTTTGTAGAAAATATTTTTAACCAATCACTTTCCATTACTGTCTTGTTGGTGGATTTTTTTGACTCTTTGTCATTCATGGTTGTGTATCTCTTGCACTGAAATGCCCAAGTTGGGTATTACATGTCATATATGTTTTTCCCTTGGCTATTAGGGGAGGATGGGAGAAAAAAGTTTTCCGAGCTTCGTATGCTGACTGTCATCATTGGGGGAAAAAAAAAAAAAAGTGCCACGTAATGGGAATGCTAGTTAAAATTTACATATATTTAGATATATTACCAATTTCTTATAAAATGAAAGCATGCACTGTAGACTAAGTAGCATTTATAGTCTAAATTGAGGCTGAAGTCCTGCGTAGTCCTTCTCTGCAGAATACCTCAGTGTCCCTTTTTCCATTCAGCGTATATGAAACCCATAGCTTGTGAGAATATCCTATGTGTTGATGCCTCTCTTCAGAGATTGAAGGTCTCAATTATTTTTATCATAAGCTTTCACATGATGTTGACTAATTAAGCAACAGTACTGACAGGAAAGGTATTATGTGTGATCCTACTTTCTCTGATATGAAATAGTTGGTAAGAGGAAAATGAAGGTACAGTGACAGACCGGTTTTACATATAGATTATCAAATGCAGAATTGCATTGTTTTCTTACTCTGTTTTTTTTTTATTATTTTTTTTTTTTTATAATGGTTGTTTGTATCAGTTTGGGAGTCTCTTTTTTTTTTTTTCTTATTTTATTCTGCTATATTTAAGATTTTTTTCAACTAATTCACAGAATTAGAACTAGGAAAAAAAGTGCAGAAATTACACAGAAAGTTCAGGAATATCATAGAAAAGTGTTATGGGAGTATTTCTTTCTTAGAACAGAAATAGAAGGACAGCAAATTGTGTAGGAAAGTCAGTCTCAAGAGCTCTTCATACCTATTTTGCCTCCTGCAGCAGAGATTTGTATTCTGTCCTTTGGGGACTGATCGAGTCAGGGTCCCTAACACACACCATCAAAGCCTTGTCAAATAAAGGAGAAGCAAAATCTTTGGTGTTTGATATGACTTTGCAGAATTCCTGAGAGAAAATACTTTTCCAAAATTATAACTTTATTTTTCAATGCATTTAAAGTAACTATTGTAATACCATGATTCATTATTTTCTATCATATAAAATATGAGAACAAGAGCCTTTTCATGTTGTGTTTGTTGTTTTTTTTTTTCCTTACACTTTTAAGGGTTAGCACACTTAAAGACTAGCCATTAAGCTCACCTTTTTTTAAGTTTTGGTTTATCGCATCCAACTTTATTTCTGTATATTTATATATATCCACTTATAATTAGGATATATTTATTTAGTGACAGCTTCCCAATTCTAGGTGTATGTTGGTGAGCAATGAGAATTATAAAAATGAGCTGAAATTTATTTTAGATGGATTCATGAACTGTGAATAATTCAGTATTTATGACTGACTTCGTCACTGTGAAAGCTAGTTGGAGAAGCTGGATTTTTCCACAAGGAACCATCTCGATTACTAGCAAGATTTTTGATATAATAGTTATGGACCTTATATGTTAAAGTCCAAAAATATACCTTACTCCTTGGAAAGGGTGAGCAAGATAAGATTTTATTTCCAGGGTTGATCCTGTCAAAATCAAAAGGAATAGAATTGCAGTGGAAAAACGAGCACGACCTCAGGGATTCTCCGTGGGGAACAGGTATTGCCTGCAGCAGAAGATGGCAGTGCAGTACATGACAGAAGCTTTTGTTGATTTTGATGCTAATTTTGGTCAACTCACTTTGCAAAAGGTTCGTTAGTTCAACTTTCAGGGAGGCTACAGCTTCTTGTTATGCTTCTAGGATTTTCTGCTATTGTAACAGGATGAACTCAGAGGTAAAACTTATAATATGTTACTCCATTTTATGATTCCAGTTTTCCTAAGGTGAGGATCTGAGTCTTCTTGGATTGTATCAATGAATTTCTCTCAAAAATCACTTGATATATCTGGGAGGGTTTGGAAGGGGTACTGTTGTGGTTCTTGGTTGTTTTTTTTTTCATCCTAGGAGCAGTTTAGCGCAAGGTGTTACCAACATATGGTGGCTACCACAGTTAAGAGAAAAGGGAAAAACTAAAATGTAGAAAGGAAAAAATGCCTAACTGTAAAACATTTTTATGTGCTTGTGCTTTCTTCTTTGTGTTTCCTTTTTAACCATTTCTTCTGCCAGTTTTCACTGAGATCTCAGATGTGGACGAAAGCGGGAAGGGAAGAGTATACCTGTGATATTGTCAGCAGCAGATATTAAAGTCATAGCAGTGGACTGGGTGGTTTCTTAGTAAGGCTGATGAACTACAGAGATGCTTTGAAAGATGACTGAGCTTACGGGGCCAGATCTGAACTGCTTGGTCACCTCTTCCAGCATGGTGCCTGGCTGGAGTTGTGCTCCTCTTCTGGGTGAGCGGCAGGGGGAACCTCACTGGGAGGGTGTAGAGAGTGATGGAGAGACATGGCTGCCTTTCTGGGAGGTCTTACCAACTTTATAAAAAGTATTTTAGAATTAGGGATGGCACACTACTCTCTTTACAGAATAATCTTCTTTTAAGATGGGGGTTTGTGTTT